TCATGAAAATCAGGTACAATCGTTTGTTTTTTCGAATCATCCATTTCATTATTTATTTTTGTTTTTTCTAGTACAAAAAGGTGTGTAAAAATGGACGCACGATGATATGATTCTATGAGAAGTTTACTTTTTTTTAGGATATCAAAGATAGTAGTACCAGTGAACGTGGTGACCATAAGAAGTAAGGAATAGTGTTTGAGAATTGCTTGATTATTGTTGTATTTTTATTCAGAGATCATGAATGATTGGACGAGAGTACAATCAACAATTTAATCAAGCATATAAAAGTTTCGTTTTTTGTTGTAGTCTTTTTATTTCAATAAAAAAACGCATAAAATTTTCAAAAAGACAAGAATGTTTCTATCTATTGCATAAGTAATATTTCAATAATCGATGCTTAGATCTGTTATTTATATAACTAAAAGAAAGATTCATGATTCAATACATTTATGATGGTAGGAATGTCTGTGCAGATATTGATGATCACTTCGTCGAAACCGATATCCATACCAACAATTTCAAGTTGTAAATCTTTTTAAAAAAAAAAAAGAATTTTTTTCATTTTTAATACTCTTTAGAATCAGATATCGTTCAAAAAAAAATTATAGATTTTACAAAGAAAACAATATTTTTGCTAAAATTTCAAAGCATTTTGATGGCATGTATAAAAAATTGTTATGAACAATTTTGTGAGCAAAAATTAAATAGAAGTAGTTTGAAGAAAAAAAAATAATTTCATTTGGCTAACATATTTTTCGATGAACTCAAAAAATCTCTCTGAAAATGTATGTTTCATTCATTTTTTAATTTCGAAAGTTAATCAAAAACTTTTATCTCCAAGAAATCTTCAACATGTTCTCAAGTAATTATATCTTACTGGACAAAGGAATCTTTTTTTCATTTTTCTATCGAACTATGGATGTTTCATCGGTTTTATTTCTTACCTTAAATAAAAATTTACTGAATGTCTAGAAATTATTATTTTAGAGAATTTTCAGTATCTTCTCTGAAGCTGAGATCTTATAGATAAATTTTGCATTGTACGAATAACACTATATGTCTATTTTCTTTTTTTTTTATCTAAAATTATAAGATTAATAAAACTCTTCAACCTACAATTATGTCTGCAAAAAAATTCGATTTAGTCTCAATGAGATAGAAGCGCACAAAAGCTTTTTTTTAACGAGTTTTCAAAATTCTATTAAAATGAAGACTAAAATACGAAATCAATCAAATTGTACCTTTCGATAAGCTAATCAATGCTCTATTCAACCATATAAAAATAAAAAAATTTCTGAAGCTTTTCAGAAATACATTAAACTCAAAAAAACTAGTGAATCATGCTATACAATGATATGCATGATTTGGTAATATCGTAGAGAGAAAAGATTAATTGTGAAGTTGTTCTAAATTGTCGGTCCCATATCTATGGAATATATGGATAACATGTGCATATAGTTTTTTTCATACAATAACTTTTAAATCAATTGTATTGATATTTCTCCAATTGATTATCAGACTCTTCCTTGAACTTTTAAAAGAATCTTACCACGAACTAATGATAACGTTAATAAACGTGTGGTTGAACTATCTATAAAATATATCATTTATTTTGTTGATTATGATCAACTTTATTTATTATCGCTGATAAATTTTTCACAAGAAATAATATTGTGATATTTGATTGGTATAATTTTTAAACTAGCAAATTATTTGTGTTGTAAAACATTTAATAATGATTTTAATTTCTATATGAAAGACAAATACAATTTTTCGTTGTCCTATTATTGATCGAATTACATCTCTCTTGATATTTTGAGTGATGATAAAATAACATTATATTCTCCTGTGAAAAGTGAATCCAATATATCTTCATTGATATTATCGATATATAATAGTCTAAGTGATTTAACTTTTATTCACACTGGTTCAATGACTGAAGTCTAACAAGTTCAATCTATAATCTATCGTTAATAAGTTGTGCATCCATAATTTTAACTACATCGATCATTAATATAGTTAAAGTTTTTGATGCGTCATCAGATATAGATAATAGAGAAAGTAAAATAAATTGCTGTATTTGGATAAAAAATTCATTCTTTCTTTTTTTCTTTTTAACAGAAAAAACTTTCTAAACTGAAGTAGTTTTCATTAAAATCATGTTGTCATACTTTATTTAATGACAATTGGATCTTTTAATTGTTTCATCGAATATCAAATCTTGAAGAACTGACATTACTTCTAGCAGTAATAAGAATCGAATCGATCATTATTTATAATATCAATGTTAAAATTCATCTTTCATCTAAGGACAAGATTTGTTGTGAAAAATCCATTTAGGACGAAAAATGAATGTCGTTTCTATTCAATTCCATATCCATTCGATATTTTTCTTCATTTGACTAGTAGTTTTTCAGGTGAAAAGTTCTATGGTTAATAATGATTGATGGAGATTCATTTGAACACGAATTCTACCATATTATTTCTTAAGACTTTTCTTTAAAAAAAAAATTAACTATATCTAATCGTGTAACACAGTAAAATCAGCGATGTTCGCTTTCCATTCATTATATTTTCACAATTTGTATAATTCGATTATTGATTCTGTTGAACAATTTATTTATGAAAGAAACACACGTTGATTTCGTCTATGAAGTCTTGAAATTCAATGTGAAACATTAGCAATTTTAAACAAACAATTTTGATCGATGATGTAGCACATGTTAATTGTGCTACATTGAAACGTCTTGTTATGACGAAGCCATTTGTTTGTCTACAAAATTTTCATTCGTATTTTTCTTTTTTCTAATAGTAATGTTTTTTTTTTGAAAACTGATTAATATAAACAAATTCTTTAAGAGAATTGCTTATTTAGTTTGATGGTCATCATGAATAAGTATTTAATAGAGAAATTGGAAATCTTTGATACAGTAATTATATGAAAGACGAGGAACAATAATTGTATTATTGATGATATGTTGTTGTTAAGGACTTTTTTAAAAGCAATTTTAGATGTCTTATCTTAAAGTCATGTATCTTATCGAATACAAACTAGTTTCTTAGGAAACTTTAGATTATGATGGAACTCGACACGATCTTCAAAACTACTTTTATCCAAACTTTTTTTGACACCTTTTCAAAGTTGAAACTGGATATACAATTGTCTGTACTGAGTCAGTAGATTATTTCAACTGATCTGGTTTCAACACCATTATGCCCTAACCGTCAACTTGTAGTTATGAAAGAAAAAAGAAAAGTGCCGAGCAATAGATTCGGAGTAAAAAATAATATTGTTTTCATTTCATCTAGCTCGCACATTCAACACAACCACAACGAAAAACAGAACGAAAATAAAGAACGACAAACAAACAGCATACTTTGAAATTATCGCTCCTTCATTGCATATAGTCAGCGAAAATTCGGGAGCCGTGGCAGCACGCTCGAATTTATTACAGACCGTCGTCTCTGACTTACGTGTACGTACACTGTATGTCTCTACCTTCAGAAGAACAACAACAACAACAACAAACTGAATAAGACGAAAATAAAACAAGAGTGTTTTGCCACAACTTTATATTAGACACTGATCGTTATTCACGTCAGTAATTTGACTATATATTACCATCCATTCCAGTAAAATAGAACATCGACAACAGATTCGAACAATTAAATCATATGATTCAATGTTGAAATTCAAGAATTTGAAGCAGAAAGGTCTTCGGCCCGTCGTAGAACAGCATCAACCTACCTCCAATGATAATAAGTCTTCCTGGACATGCGTAGACAATATGATACTTGATGAAAATCAAGTTAATCTTCTTACGAAATGGCTTGATCAATTGAATCAACAACATTTGATTGCTATCACCGAACAGAACGATATTGTGATTATGGCAGGTGGTAAGAACGATTATGCTCAACAGATATTTATCAATTATGATGATGTCGATGCTTACATGAAAACAAATGCAGGTGATAGGAAAATAATAGACGAAACCAAAATTATAAGGATGTCGGATGTTGCTAGAATACTACTCAAATATAGATATGTTATTGAATCATCGGGACAATTGTCATTTAACGCTCAAACCATCGCTCTAGATAGGAATGAATTGACATGGCTCCAATCGATTGTGCATACCGTTCGGTCCGATCCACAATTCCACGAAACTCACGTCAACTTATTTGATGGCATCAACATGCACTTACTGCGCATTCCGTGGGAACATATGACACCGACTGATGATGTACGTGCTGTTGCCACCTATCTCTTTCAAAATGGGCACGTTCGATACGACATTGACACGGGAGCATATGTTTACCACTACGTTGAACCTGATATTCTGCTGGCTGGAAAAGCCAAGTCATCGGAACATATTGCTCAACATCAGATGCTCTCTTTCCACATTCGCCATGTTCATGTCGATGAAAAGAATGAACGTATCGAGCTAGAATTTCTAAACAAAGCTACCCAACGTCTCGTCATACCATCGCGTTGGTATCGTCAAGTTTTTGCGCATAATTTCGACCGAAATTACATTATCGACGCGCTACTAGCCAACGGTGGCATGATCAATCGTGACACTTTTATTTTTATGGGTCGTACTTATTCTCTACAAGTGCCTTACGTATCTAGAATGACATCGCATTCGGTTTCGCCATCAAATTTGAAAACATTGAATTTGTCATCAAAACAGAAGAACGACCTTATTCGTAACTACATCGATTTGATTATCGAACATGACGGTGTGAAACAGGATAAAGCCAATGATTTGCTCCTGCTAGAAAATGATAACGACGGTCGTCAACTGTACTTTACACAGGAGCATAGCCAATTGATTCGACAGAATCGATTTCAACGACTAGATGTCATTTACATCCTAGTTAAACATGGACAAATCAAAGAAGACGAATCCGACAATTTGTTGCTGTACTATAACAATCAGTTTATACGATTTCCCTCCTCAATTGTTCAATCGTCTACAACTTCGTCACAAAACATGGGTAATATTATTTATTCACCAAACGAACGAATTCGTCGTGATATTCAACAAACATCTCAATCTATAAGAAGAACAACATCAGCTGGCCATTTTGAAACTCAATATCGAGCTCCCGTCGTTCAAGAAACGCAAGCAGAATTTCTCACACGATACCACAATACTATTGATTACATGTGTCGCCATAATCTAGTAACATGGGATAAACGTTTAAAATTGATAAAACTTCATTTTGCAGATCAAACATTACTCCTACCGATTGATCATCTACGTTCGATTCTTGATCCTCGTATTATGGC